TATTACTGTCGTCCCTAGGATGTTATAGAAATGCCTATGACTTGGAGATGTGTTGGACAAACTGGCCCCTAGCATGCATTGACCTCTGACATGTTCAGTTACCTTCAAAGTAAATCAGTTGTTTATATTCCAATTTTTTTCCTAAGTTTTTGGTTTTGTTTTCATTTACTTCTTTACAGAGCCCACGCCCCCTCCTACTCCACCACCACCCAAGGAGCCCACCCCACCCCCTAAAACCCCCACCCCACCTCCCATTCTGAAGCCCAAGAAGAAACCATCCAAGCCCAAGCGGCCCCCAAAGAAGGAGAAGTCCAAGGCGGTGAAGACAGTGAAAACACCAGTGAAACAGCCCACACCACAACCCGAGCCACAGCCTGTCATGCTGCCACCCAAGAGCCTTACACCTCCGCCCCCACCTGGTATGTGTTGTCTAAATTATTTGATGGATTTTTGTGTCTGAGTTTCATGTTTGGATGTTTGGTCTTCGGTAGCGTTATGTTTGTCTGGTGATTTGTAAGCAGTGGTCAGAAAAAGTCTCCACGGACAGACAGGGAATGAAGGGTTGAGTCCCACTCAAATAGTTTGAAATCAGTCAGAAATGTCAAATTTTCGTCAAAGCTTCTGAATCTTACATTTTGATCCAGCTAGAATCTTTCTCAAATACACTCCAGTCACTGCATGGGGATTTTTTTTGTACCAGATCATTTGGGTTGTCTGTACCTTTCCAAGTTCCATTAGTTTTCACAAAAAAAGTGTCTCCCTACAGCATTTCCTCCAATTTTTATTCACAAGTATGTATCCAATCTGTCTTTGTCAACTTTTCTAATGGGATTAGGGAGGAGAGACAATTGACTGCAAAGTTTCACACAGAGAAAAGAGAGATTTTATGTGAAATGCATTTCATGTCATCGGATTACATTCCATTGCATTCAGATAAATTTGTGGCATCGAACATTGTTCCACAGAAAATGAGTGAAAAAGTTGTTGCGAGTTTCCCTTGGTTGTGGTTTATTTGAATAGTTTGAAATTAGATAGAAATAGAAGTACATGTAGGAAATAACTCAGTTAATGAAAGAGCGGATATAAGGAAAGGGAGGGCAGTGTGGTCAAATACATTGTTTTGATATGAATTTCAAATTGTCAACATTGCCTTTCTGTTGCCATGCCGATCAGAACCGGAACCAGTCAAAATCCCGACCCCAGAGCCTCCCAAACCACCCAAGGTTATTGGTGAGTAGTGTGGGATTGCAGTGTATGCAATGCGAGTGTGCTTTTTAGCTTTGATGCATCACAGTGTCACGATAGCTGCATATTACCAGTCAGCTGGAATTTGCCTCTGTAGAGGTTTTTCACATAAGGTAACATGACAGGAAAAGGCATTTCAGGAAGCATACCATGTCCATGACGGGGCATGCATTTTCAAATCTGGCAGTTTATTCTATTAGCAATTTCATGTACATGTACTCTGGAATGTTGAGCGACTCTGAAGGCATGCGCACTTTTGAGTAAATTGAACACTGACTGTCAAAAATCACATGACTGAAAATCCTCTGTAAGTGTAACTGACTCCTCAGTGCATGTCGACTGTTGGAGAATAATTCCAAGCATACGATCTTGCTTTTGCAGTGGACAGAAGCATGATGCTAACTGGGAAACTCAAGAAATGAAAAAAAAAACAAAAGCAAATACATTTGCTCAAAATAATATTGGATTCACAGGTGCTATCCAAGACATGCATTGGCTTCTCTGAGAATTATAGTCAGATTTTACACGGCAGAAATGCAAAATGCTTTGTTCGAACTTGTGATTTGCTCACAGGAATAAAGGAAAAATAAATATTTCACAGTTTGCAATTAACACTGTACAGTCTAGCAGTCATTGCAAAAAAAAGTGCTACCAAAACCAAAAAGTGCCCAGCCTAATTCCCCTTGTTCCGCCTGAAACTTGCCCCAGCTATGCATAGGTTTGTAAAGTGATCAAGGGAATAAATCCAGTGTAATATGATAAAGTAGTAATGGGTTAAAGCTATGGTGCAGTCGACATCCATAATGGAGCATCTAACTATGACATCAAGCATCCTCCTCTGCAATCAAGTAAAAGCAAGCTTTCCCTCCTCCATGTTCAGCAGGGTTGACAGGAAAATCTGCCATCATTTATACCTTAACCAGGCTGTGTCAGGATGTGAAATTGTCAACATACCCTCGCTAATCCATGCAGCATTACTAACAGCTTTGAATGCTTTTAAGCTCAAGTGAAGAAATCCACTATCCCTTGGAAACACAAGAATATGTACATGTGCACACCGCAGAAAAACAAAATCCAAGGCAGTATTATCACGCTTCTTTAATTGAACTCTTGCATGCTAGCTAAGAACATTTGCGGAATCCTCCAAGATTGCAGGAATTCTTGTCACGTTGGACTTAGCTGAACTGTAATTTTGTAATGGCTGGGCTCTACATGTACATGTTCACATACCCTCTGGGAATTTTTGAAGGACCAAGGAGGGTTGTGGGTTTAACACGCAAACCCTGTAACTTGACAGGCTTGGAGAAGGCCGAGTAACCCTTCACTTGCAGTAGCTCTTCTCCAGAATTGCTTTTGCCTAAACAATTCTGTCATAACTAGGGTAAAAATTTCCGAGGGGGCACCTGTACATTTCAACATTTGAAATGGGGGAGGGGGAGGAGCACCTGTGGGCAAGTATTTCTGTAAGGGGGGGTATGTGCCTCCCCATGCCCAACATAGATATGCTACTGGTCAACATAAACCTTCACATGAATTTGGCTTAGAAAACAAACCTGATGTGCTGATAGCCTCCTGGATATTGTTGCCAGGGTTTACAGCCGTTTGGTATTTTCACTTGTGAGAATGGTCCAAATTGTTCTTTTTGCCTTAACAGAGTTTGCCTTTGCTTTGCAGTGATAATATGACACTGTTGTATTGTGAAGGGAAGTTTTAGGTCTGCGAACAATGAATTCAGATTAGAAATAATGTGTCCAAAGTATGCTGTGTCATTGTATCAGACACCCCCAGAATGCAAGAATATCATTTTGTGTGGAGAGGCTGGGTTAGAAATTAAACCTAGAGCAAGGTTTGAATTGTGGATGAGCAATTCGGGAGAGCTACTTAACTCTTTCAGTATCAGGGATTTAAGTATTTTCCTCCCTGGGTGCTCATAACATACCCAAGTTCAGGCCAGAAATTAGGGCTTTAACTTGTAGCCATGACTTGGAATCAACTGATATTTCTTTGGATGAACAATACCCTATGTGCCCCCAAAAAGCCATCCTTGAGAGTTTTGACATCAAGATCATCCATAACTGATAAAATGTCTCTTTCAGAGGGAGTGGCTTTCAAACTTTATTTATTGAAGGGAAACTTGACTATTGACATGGAAAAGGTAATTATCCTCGTGGCCCATGCATGTTGCCCCTGCAAGGCAAAAAAGTCAACCCTTATTTTTATTTGCACTTTTTTCCAGAGTTGCCTCCTTTGCCCACTGTCGTTGATCCTGAACCAGAAGGTAAACAGCCAGTTTTGTGATTATCGCCAACTTTCCAGGCATTTTTCTTCGAAATTTTCTCAAATGATTAAAAAGAGTGGATTTCTTATTGTTTCTCTTTTTATTAAATCTATCATCAATACCATAAAAGGAAAATTAATAAGAACTGATAGTCACTTCACGAAGTGACATATTTGGCAAACCACAGTCTGATATCACATACAGGAAGTGTGCTTTAGTATGTGCCAGAACTACCCTGTGCATTACTTCCTGTATGAATGACAATACATGTAGGTAAATAAGTTTATAGTTAAATTCTCACAAAACCATAAGTCATCCAGTCTCAAGCCAAGTCATAAGCTATCATATTCAAACAAATTGAGGAAAAGTCAATCCTTTGTCACTGTTCATCCCTTGTTCCTTGTGACCTGACTTCCTGATTAAAGTTGAGACTGACTCATGGTGGACTCATGTCTGTTTACTCAAATGATCAATATGTCTGAGATAACTTTGATGTATCTGTTTCAGTTGAATCTGAAATAAGTGAAGTCGTGCCCTCCAGCTCTCCAGAGCCTGAGGAGTCAGATCCCAACCCTTCAGTTGCCTCTCTAGCCTCCAGCCCCCCGCCTAGCACCCCAGCTCCCCCTCCCCTCCCCAGCTCACCCGCTGAGAGAGACATGTCCTTGGCCCAGGAGCTGGAGCGACAGCGGCTGGCCGAGGAGAGGCACCGCAAGGCCATGATGATGTATGAGATGCTTAGGTCCAAACAGCCCATACCAGCGGCTAGGATGGAGGAGGGCGAAAGCATCAAAGAATGTAAGACTGGAGTTTCTCCACAGATGTTGTCTATCACATTGAACAGCCTTAATCTCCCACAGGGTGCTCCAGTGAGCGAGACATCACATACAATGTTTAAAAACCAGCCCTTGTGGCCAACTAAAGGAAGAAACCTCATTGTATACTTGCTAATCATAATTACTCCTTAGGATTTGCAACTGCTTGTGCCTAATTAACATGTGACATTGGGTGTCTTTTCTTGTAGATGGATGGCTGGCACAATTCTGCATCCTCAAACCGGAGAAGTTGAAGATGTACAGCATGGCCTTTGAAACTGTGAGTGCAACTGCAAAGTTAAGAACGGAAAAGCAAGAAGAGTTTTTCCACTGCTGGGGCTGTATGGCCCCACCCTAATAGCTCATTCAGGGTTAAGGATGTGGGTAAGCTGCAGTATGTGCAAGCATGTTACTACTTCAGTGATAATGGCCTCTTGTGTACCTCTCTGTGCTGGAAGATATGTAAACCTGCATTGATTTTCTGTAACAGGTTACCATCTGTAGGCGGTTAAAGTCTGTAAATTACCATGTTTCAGAAGATTTCACTTAAAAATACAATCTCATTTGACTGTGTGACTGCTGTTTTCTAGGTCGACGAGAATCATAAGGGCTGGTTGTCCTGTTTTGATACACTGATTGCTCTGAAAGGAATCACTGGTACCCAGAACCTTACAGAGAAAGAGGAAGAGTACATCTGCCGGGTAAAGCATATTAGTGCATTTTTAGGGAAGTGCATTTTTAGTCTGTATGCCTGAATTTTATAAATGGGGTTGCATATGTCACAGATTCCAAGAAAAAAAAATTGTAAAAACTTTGCATCTTAACTTACTGACCCAAACAATTTCTTTCATTGTATGTTTTCATTGCAGTTGTCTGTGTATTTAAGTAAGCATCAATGTGGCTGTTGCAAAGTGCATCAAATTAACCTGCCCAGAAGAGCATGTTTCTTCAGCCTGTCCTCACAGAATGACCAATTATGTATAAACATATTGTGCAATTTGAGTCACCTTCTGTCTGGTGGATCGCAAATACAGGAGTGTGAGGCAGGCAGGTTTACTGCAATCAAACTTTCTTTTTGTAAGTCAATTTGTTCTGAATGGTTACCTTCTTTCTTTCTCCATTCCTCAGATTCTGGAGATTGCTGATTACAACATCATGGAGGGGTCTGACTTCCGTATATTCTCGGTGATGGCAGGCTTGTCACAAAAGATTGCTTCCGTTGAGTAAGTCACCATGTTCGCTCCCCATTTGTCTTCTCTAAGATATTTGGTTTCTCATAGATTCTAGGTACAGGTGTCTGTAGAATTACCTAAAATACAAATTTACAAGTGTATTACTTATAATATAAATGAAGAAACTGTTGTATGAAGAAATCAAGAGAAATGTTAGAAAATTTCCACAACTTTGATTAATTCAACATTCTACAAATTATCAGTTACTCCTTTACACCATGGTAGGACTGTGTGCTTAGAACTTGGTACTTGTAAAATTAACTGGAAACACAGCCAATGATTTTAATTTCTTGGCTCCATTCCTTGAAACTGACCTGTTTGTTCCAATCCATCATCTCTTCAAATAAAAGTCATCAACAATCAGATGCCTGATTGTTGACTCGCAGTTTGGTCATTTTTTCGTTTTAACAAATGTGATTCATTCAGCAATCTTCTTTCATCTACTCCAGTGTCATTGCCATTCACAAGCAAATTATATGGTTCTTTTACTCTGTTTGAAAAGAAACAGCACTTTTTTTTGTCTATTAAATATCTTCCTTGAAAACCAGCCAGCCCAAAATTGTAATCTCTGAAGTGGGTTACTGACAACCCAACCACTGTGATTTTTTCAGTACCATGTTCTAAAAGTGCCCCTAAACACACTGCCCTACACTATGTCACTAATTCCCCATGTGGCTAAATTACTTGCTTTTACATGAATGTTTTCAACTTTTAGTGTTTTTTGGTAGCAGTATTGCTATCATTGGAATGAAATCTTAATCGGCATCGAGCTCTGACTTCCCTCAAGTGTGTGGAAAGTTATTTTGAAATTCGGGTTGTGTGTTTTCCTGTTCTATTTTGCAGTTCATGGGTTCGAAACCTGATCCAGAAATTTGATCTTCAGATGTTGGACTGGAAAATGTATCGTGGCAAGGTAAAAAATACTGGGAAGGGAACAAGTAGGCTAAAACTAAAGTAATAAGATAAAACAAACTAAAGTAATAAGATACTGTTACAAGGGTTTAAATTTCTGTATTCCACACAGCTTTATTTGTACACACTGTTGGCTTAAATTGCCCCTGACTAAAATATGCATACTGAGTGGCTGTCACAGCATAAATCCTCAAGGATTCCACCTTAAAAAGAAACAGAGTAAGACTGCAAAATTCTTACATCTGTCAATGCTGACATAGCTGCAAGGCTGAAGCTTCTGCTGATTGAATGATGACATCACTGTTTTGGTCATGAAATGTGAAATTGACCTCAGTGGAATTTACCCACAAAGGCCCTTAACCGGTTTGCACTGAAGGCCATGAAATCACACTCAGGCAGTCTACATGTATATTCATAAGGACAGCTGATAGGTTGAAGCATCGACTTACCAATCCATGTGTTCAGGCTTCACTGCACTCACTCTTTTGATCACTGCTGAATCAACAACTGGATAGATGACACTGGAATATATTTATTGCAGTGTCCCTTTAGCCTTCAAACCCTCTGACTTGGAATTTGGTGTTGCATTGCAGGTGCAGTTTACATGTAGCTTGTCTACTCACTTTTTTCCGCAGGAACTGTTTGAGTGGTGTATTGACGAGTCGTCCAGTCGTCTCTCGGTCCCCCGACTCCTGATTGAATTGCGTGCGGGCGGGGTCAGTGACGAACACCTGGACGAAGTCCGGGACAAATTCGGGGAGGATGGGATGCTAGACTTGCTCGATTTCCTGACGTACTTGCCCTTGTTCATCATGACACATGAGTCAGTGGTCTGTAACCCCCTAAGTGATGTGAGAGACAAGTGATGCAACCCGTGTTGCTTAGGTACTCAGACTGCTTTTCACAAAATACAGTCGATTGCAATTGCCAGACTTTACTCCCCAAACAAGTTGTGTTGTAAAGTCCAGCACTGTGGATTTATCCCATTTTAGACAAGGTCATGACTGCTTGACCAGATTACGTCTTTGTGGATGTTAAAGTGGGGAAAAACAGGTTTGTGGGAGCTGCCATTTTTTTGACTTCGTACAGGAAAAGTGGTGCTACAAGTGTGACTATTAACTGGATTCCCATTACCAAGGAAACACTTAATGCACTCACTGACCGGCACAAATGAGATATGCAGAGCTCTGATTTTCCTCAGAATGCACGCAAAGTGTCTATCCTCATCAAAAAGAGGATGTGTGCATGGCATCCACAGGGTAGAGGAGGCCAGGTTTTATCTGACCTCTGGCAACTCCATGAATACAGTCATTGTAATATTGATGATTTAACCAAAAAACAGGGCTTTTTCCATAAAACAAACTGCATTCCATTTCAGTGACACACCACTGTTACGCAAAGCAAACTTTTTTCTCTTTTATGTGCATGTTTTTTTGATGCTTGCTTTTAAACTAAAGGAGAAGAAATTTTCACTTGTCAGCCTTGTCCATATCTCTATGGAAATGCTGCTCTTGCTTCCACAGTTTCAAATAAGAAGTTCCTGTAATCTGCAAAATGCCTTATTTCTTTACTCGGGAAATGATGGAACAGTTAAAAGCTGGTTGCCACTGATGTCCCTGCGTAACATATGTGCGTTAATAAGTGCATGCACACTCTGTGTCAGCTCCAAAGGGAAGCTGTTACTTCTTTATAATGAAACACTCACCATGCCCTTAAAAAGGAGTGATCGGTAGTGAAATTACTAGCCAGGAGAAAAGACTTTCTGGAAACATTGTTTCATGTCACTTTTTCACACAAGCATGCATATAGTGCAAGAAAAAATGTAAATTGTTGATACCATATTGCTTTTTATGATTGTATATAGTACATTAAAAGATATGTAAATGCTGGTATGCTGTATTATATCACTTTTATATCCAAAACATGTCTATTCAGATGAGTATTGGAAAGAGTGTGAAATTCTGTGAATTGGATTTGCTATGTCACGAAAGGGAGCTTCTTTTCAGTATTGAAGGATACTGAATAACAGGCATTCTTTTGCACAAAATCAAAATCCGAACACCACTTGAAATGTGTTAATTGGTTAAAAATTTCCATCAGTCAGTAAACAAAAGAAAATTATTACATATCACAGTAGCTCTATTAAGTGCATTCAACATTTGATAAATCAGTTCTGTTGAGCGATTTTGCTAGCCTTAAAATCAGAGACTTTTCCATGAGAAACTCGAATTATGCAGGGACCATCTGAAGGGAGTTTGACCAGACTTTCAGAATTAATATTTTGAATAAAATATTTCTGAAACTTTGGGGCCTTTTCTGTCAAAAAATTTACTTATGCATAGGATATCTGAAGGGATTTTGACCACACGTTGAAATAAATGTTTGAATCAAACGATTTTTGTAGCTTGTTTTAAAACACCTCAGTTTCTTGGTTCAGAGTGCCTAATTATAGTGCATGTACATATTTCAGTAAGGTTTCTTGTGAATTTACACAAATGGACTCAAAATCAACAAGTCTCTCAAAACCGTTGAGACAAGTCGTCTGTTGAGACAAGTTGTCCGCTCATCCTGCAACACTGCACTATGCCTAAAAAATCACGTGGTAGATAGACATGCCTAATTTTTGAGGTATAAAAATGGCGGTCACAGCAAGTCGATCTGGCATCCATGCTGACCTAGTACTAGCCACGTAGTCCGGATGGGGATCCTCGTTTTGGATCGCTTGAAATAATAATCTACCTCATTTGTGTTGTTCTTTAGTTCTGGTTCTGTATTCTCAGACAAGTTCTGTTTAAAAGGTGAAATGCAAGCTCCTTGTTGTACAAAACTTTTGGCCAGATTTGCGAATGACATTTTTGAACGGTTTGTCAAAAGTCACAGAGGCGAAAGAAAAATATTTACAGGGCGATATGTCACTCACAACGTGCGATCCCAAATACTTTTTTCATACTGAAGCTTTTTCATTTAATGCCTGTTTGATCAAAATGACTTTGAAAGTTTCCTTTTCTCATTAAAACTAGCCGAAATCTTTATGTATACTTTTCCTATGGATCGCGCATTCAGTGCACGCAATATACGGTTAGGTGGTTTTCGGCAAGCTCTCCTGGACCATGGCCTAGACCAAGCCTTTTCTCCAAAGTCCTACCGTCTCAGAGTAAGTTACCTGACCCCCGCTTGCTGTTAGGTTTCCTAACACCTTGACAGCATCGCCCTGCAGGCTCACCGCCGAGAATTCTCAAGCTTGACACCACAATCCAGAAAGGTGCTATCCTGTCACTAGTTGACCTGCCTCACTGGGCGCATGGGGCTTATGGTTTTCCAACGTTGCAGGTCAGACACCTGGCAATACTAAAGCACCAGAGAAAAAGAGCAACAATACCAGACTTGCTTTCGTGGATCGGCTTGACTGATCTGGCAGAACCTCCAGGGCACCCGTGACGTTCGGAAAACCGCTATCACGAATAAAAAAATGAAGATGCTCCGGGTCTTAAAGCCATAGGATCTGATAGTCTGCTCTAAAATCTAGCTGAGATCACAGAAGCCGCATCACTCCCAACCAACTGGAAAACCTCAAATAGACAGCAGCAAGACAGAACACTAGTGTCTCATCCTTGAGGAGATTCTGCTCAGCAGCAATAGCTGATGTCTTATCCACACTGCATCACGGAGGGATACGATTTACAACATGGCCAAGTCAAGAAAAAGTAATGACTGGTTGGAGACCAGTTACATGTATAAAGAAATGATCTCGCTCAGAAGAATTGCAGCGTGTTGCCCCTCTGGAACTTGTTCACAGAGTCAGAGCACACTGACTCGGTCCTGGCAGATTAAAAATCATTGGCGGGGGGGGGTTACCCAGAGTCACAGTGTGGGTTCCGCACCCATCATGAGATCAACCGGCCATCGGTACGCTCTTCTCTCCAAGACGACCGGACAAGAAATGCAGGGAGCTGAGGAACCATTTAATCTCGCCTTCATCAACCTCACCAAGACTTGGTCAGCAGATCTGACTCTTTCAGCTGTTCCACAAGATACGATGTCCACCGCGGCTAGTCGGCAGTTGTCAAGCCCTTCCACGAGGATATGAGGAATATATCCAACTCAATAGCCCAACCTTAGATGCCTTCAGCATCAAAAGCAGTGTCAAATAGGACTAAGTGTTCCTGCGTCACTTTTTAGAGATCTTTTTTGCCATGTTATCGAAATACGCCATAGTGTCTTCACTTAGGGTAAGGTTACCTGCACACAATGAGGGAAAACGTTCAACTTTGCAAGACTCGAAACAAATTCAAAGAAAAGAGAAGCTCTCTTCATTGACATGCAATACGCGGTTGACGCTGGCCACACTCCGCAAGAGTATCGGATAATATCAGGCTAACCACCCAAGCCTATGTCCCCGGCACCCACCCTGGCTATTTACACTCTTTGTGGTTATGAAAGAAATGAAACAGAACCAAAAAAGTTGCCTTTCTCCTACACCTCGCCCCAAAAGAGATTGATTTCATGGTGTACCCGTAAACCTATTTCTCATGCCCTCTTCCACCATGCAAAGCTTCAAATGTTACTTATTCCCCTAAGAAAGTGATTTTTAATCAAGCCTAAGTCTTTGCTCAGTACGTGGAGCTGGATCACAAACAAAACGAGGCTGCTTTTTGCACACATTAGGGCAAGGTAAAATACCAGCATACCTACCATGCAAAATAAGCACATGTACATGTACATGTTGTGAATGGCATGTTTCTCACTATTAGTCATTTAGATGCATGTGTAAGTATTCTGTTAACAAATTCTTGTGAACTCTAGTTTTGTCAAAACTTAGAGTTTGGTTCAAAACTTGGTAAGCACTCTATCCTTGGTACATGTGTGCCAGTCTCTGAAGGAAGTGTCTTCTCTGCAGGTACGTGTACCGGTAGTGCAATACTGACCTCCCACTGACCCCCCCATGACTACTTTTATAGTGGTCATTAGTGGGTTGTCCAGCCTTTCTGCTGCAAAAAGTGCCACTGTCGGAGCCGAGCAGAAATGTTTTACAGTGCAGTTCTATAATTTACACTAAAGACCGATGACTGGTGCCATATGCAGTCCATCGTTCTCATTGAAGACCGCAGACTGCCCACTTATTTCTGTTTGGGTGTGTGAGCATTTGTGGCTGATGAGGCTTATACAAGCTTTGAACCACCTTCTGCATGGGAAGCACACACAGTTTGCTCTCCTCGTCAGTATCTTGAAACCGCACCTTTGTGTTTAACTTAACCTTAATTTTTTTTAATGAGCCCTTTGCAATACAATTAATTCCATAAGGATTTAGACCGATTACAATGCTGCTTCTAGCTCGTAATTTCCTGCTTGCCTTCTTTTTCTCTGCTGCTTCAAGGCAACTCTGCTCGGATTTCAGAGCACCACTACTTGATTTGTGCTCTCCATCCAGGTTTATTCTCTGCTGATTCTTCCCGGATGTCCAGTCGATCTCAAAACTCCTTAAGGACTCCTTTCAGGCTGTCTTTAAGGCGCTTCCTCTTGGGCAGCTGCGAGAGCACTTCCCTTCAGAGTTGTCGTTGAGTATATTCTCCTCGGGAGCCAGTCGTCAGGCATGCGAACCTGGTGACCTGCCCATTTGAGCTGGACCTCCAAGTACAGGCCCTGTACAATGGGTAATCCAGCACGCTGGAAGATCTGTATCTGGAATTCGGTTCTGCTACCGGCCACGCATCAGGTGACGCAAACAGGTGGTGTGGAACTGTTGGAGCTTCCTGGCTTGATTGGCATACACAGTCCAAGTCCCACCTGCATACAGCACAGTCAGCATGATGTCAGCCTTGTACAGTTTCAACTTGGTCTCCGGGATGCTGCCTGCGTTCCAAGACTGTGGGGCGCAGTCTGCCGAAACTGCAATGGCCTTAGCCGTCGGACTGACTGGTTATTATACTCGTCATTGTCACGAACATCTCCGGATAGTGTGCTGCAAAGATTTGCAGACTACCTCCAGTCTTTATAATGCACGAACTGTAATAGCAGGCTCCGTGGACTCTGCCTGGTGCTGGTTAGCACATGACTACGATTTTCTTTGTGCTGATAGTGAGGCCGAAGTCCTCGCAGGCGGCAGAAAAAGGTCCATACTAGCCTGCACTTCAGGCTCTCGCTGAGCTGCTGTTCAGGGCACAATCATCGGGGAAGAGGAATTCGCGAACGACGTCGTTGAGCACTTTTATGGTCTTAGCCTGGAGTCTTTGGAGGTTGAACACACCAACATCAGTAGGATGCATGATGGGGATACCGTCACTGTCTGTGAAAGCATTAGTTAGCATGGCCATAATCATCATGCTGAACAGGGTCGAGGCCAGGACACACCCTCAGGCACGTGGGAAGAAGATTCTGTACCGGGGGCAGAAAAATAAAATCTCTCCAAAATTTCCATTTTTCCAATGTGATCTGAGTAAAATTATCACACACTGCTCCAAATACTCTCACTCCAAGAATACAAAATGACACAACTTGTTTAAGGTGGCGCGGCCCCTACCATATTTTTTTTTGGGGGGGGGGCTGCCCCCCCACCGGTTCCTACGTGCCTGACCCTTCAAAGGTGCCTCTGTATCATCCAGGACTTGAGGTCTAAGCTCCATTCCTGGATCTTCTCCTGTAGCTGGATTGAGGCAAACACCATTGTGTCTCCTGTCTCTCATCCAGTTCTGAACCTGCACTTTCTCTCCACCAAGTGGCCCTGCTCCATGCAGGTGTGCGCGTGGTCTTTGATTTGTACACTATAGAATGGCATATTCTATGAGCCGTATAATGGCAAGGAAGGATTACGTGAGATTCGTGACTCTGTCTGTGCCAGTGACTCTAAAGTTATCTTGTAGAAAGAAACTAAATAAGAGATCGTTACAGGGACTGGGCATCGTAAGAATCCAACTCTCAAGAGTAAGTTCGATCCAGTTGTCCAATCCAACTTTGTTCGTGGATGAGAACACGACTGAAGGTACTCTCTCAAGAAACTTCTTATTTTATGTTTTGACTTTTTTATTTTATAGTAATGAACAATCTGCAGTAACTTGTAAACGACAGGCCTTCACATTTTTCCATTTTTGTGACAACCGTGGTGCAGAAGAGAGGAAGTTGCAGGCGGTTGGTCAGCCCTCAATCTTTGGCAGTTTGTATCTACCTTTCAGGAAAAGGATTAATACTAGGTTTAGTACACATGCTGACGGTAACAGTTGTATATTAATATTATAATATTAATACCCCACAACCCCCCCTAACAACCAAAAACAAAAACATGTACTTTGTTTTTTCAGAATTTTCGTATTGCTAGCTGTCCATAATAACTTATGCTTTAAAATTGCACCTCAGTGTCCTATCTTCATGGGATGCATATTAGTTTGACAAAGTTGGTCAACCAAAATTTTGACTGGGTGTAGAAGTTGAAAATGAACCTGGGTTAATTAGTGTTGAGAATGCCTAATAGAGGCTGTTGAAAAATGGTAGACATTTGACAGTGTTCTTGATTAATATTCTACTAAGTCCATGTTAACTGTGTTGAGTTTATGATATATATGCCAGTCAAATGATCACGGGATTGGATTATATATATCCGATGTGGAAGATTCCCATCGAGTGAGATCTATTTTGAAAGCATCAAAAGAGGCAGTCTAGTGAATCAGTGAATTCCACTACGTCTGTAAAAATAAATGGGGACGAGTCCACATTAAGTGGCCGCTGAAGATGGGGGCACGGCGTGTTTTATGGAAGTCACCGTCTGCAGCCGTTAGAAAAAAAGGAGACTTCAGGTACTACTTGCAGCTGCAAGCATATCTTTTACATACGGCCAAATGGTAATATCATTAACCACTAATGATGGGCATATCCATAGTGCGCCGTAGGTGCACCGCTGAGGATCTCTGCGTCCAGGATCTTGTTTTGGCAGCAGAAGTGCAGGATATGATGGAGGCAACTCACAGATGGAAGTGATTGCAGCTTGTCCGCGTCATGATAGGCCACGCACAAGGCCAACGCCTCCTACTGACTACATCAGTATACCCCACTCCCTACATTAAAAAGACTGAAAAACTCACTCTCAAAAGGATTAAGTCCCTTATTTTAAAAACCTTTCCACAAGAGTGACAGCCACTATAAAAGAGCGAAGTGTCAAATTTTCAAGGAGGTATATTAAGAGACAACTCGAAAAAGACTTATCCTGAATCTTTTTAGAGTCGTTTACACTCTTTGGATTTATAAGAAAATTAATCTCTTTGAGAGTGAGTTTTCACTCTAGTGACTTAAGAGGGCACGTGTGAGAGGACTTTCCGGGTTCCATTAGCCATCTCCGGACCTTATAGTTAATATCCGCGACAACCTGGGATAAGTACCCTTAACTAATGAAGGGCGCCCTCTGTAAGATTTCTATCGATTAAAATCGCGGGGGGGTCTGCCTCGTAGGATTTCATGATAGCTTGAGGTATTGTGCCTGAATCACGTATCGCTAAATGACTCCAAATGGCTGCAGCCCTAGCCGGCCAGTGGCTTCCAAGAGTTTGCATACTTTGCAATAGCCTGACATGTCTTGCATCACTCGTAATCAGTCTTTCAGGCCCAGCAGCCAAACTTTTTTTTTGCACAGCCACTGTTGTTGGGGGCGCCCTATATGTATGTGATGCTGAAAGCGTTCTTTCAATTGGTCACAATGCATTAAGGGTCTTTAGAATTCAACGAATTGTACATTACATCATAGATTGAAATTGATTGTAGATTAGAACTAATCATTCAATTTAATACAAGTGGTTATTGAAGTGTGTTAATTTTTTTGAGGATTGATGGTAATATTTTGAATTATTGTAATTATGATGAATAACTTGAACCAATCAAAACACGTTCTTTTTCGGTAGCTAAAGCTTGCCGGGTCGGCCATCTTGTTTTGGTTCGTCGCCGGTCGAGATACTGTCGGTCGAGGGCTCGTTTCACGAGCAAATTTTATCATGATGATTTCTCGGCTTGCGCTAAGAAATGGTAATGTTGTTCGAATTTTACATTGAAATGTGTTTTCTTTAAATGATTTGTCAAGCATTTTTAAACATTTATCTTTAACTTGAAATGTGTTTAAGTCCTCCATGATTATCCCCACTATAGCCCCACTAGTGTGGCACGGAATCTCACTCCCGATCCATCCTTGGCCACACATCCGTATACGCAATTTCGTGTCGACGTATTGAACATTTCGGCGCAATTTCTTCTGCACACGAACATGATTCTTGACCTTTTCGTTTTCTAAAAACCATTTGTTGAATGATTTCACTCAAGTTATTCAGGTATTTTCCAGTCTTTTTGCCTTTAATCCATTTAATCTCACGGGCTCGCTCTCACAAATGCACAGTGGCCATCTTTAAAATAAAGTCGTTAAACGTTACGTCACTCATTGTTTCGATGGCTGTTCCATGTCAAGACATATGTAATACACGGACTGGTCGATAAGATACTACATCATACATGTACCAATGGGCTCTTCCAAAACTTTGGCAGCAATTTATTTCAAATCAGTGGTCATTGCGTTAAATTTTCATGATTTTTAGATAAGTGAACAATGTACCGGTATTTATGGTGAAGTTACTTTCATTAACGGAGAAGAAAAAGTAAAAGATGCTATCAGCTCCTGCATGATTTGTGCATTAAATTCATTACCTGGATGTCTGCAAGATGTCTGGAGACTACGTATGGGACAGGATCCAGTCTAATGATCATGATTCTCGCAGTTGGAGGTTGTTGTTCCATTTATTGCTGTCACTTCTGGATAAAAATGACTGAAACCTTTTCAGTGTGAAAGATATTCATCGTGCATACATGAAGGAATTTCAGGCACATTTAATGTAAACATGGTAAAGGTTAAGAGTTTTTAGTCAGTAATTCAGATGTTCCTCATGGGCATGATATTGATAGGCCTAGACTACTTTTTTTGCTCCTTTGAGTTTTGAGTGTGAAATATGGAATAGCCACTAGTTGACCAATCAGAGAGAAGAATCATGATTTATTGACGTCATCCCGAAGGCGAGAATGACGACATCCACTCTGACATGTCCGACATTGTTCGAATCAAGAACATGGTTCAATGTCAATTCGGTCCCAAGTCAACTCGACCACAAGTCTACTTGGTCCCAAGTCAACTCAGTTTCGGGTCGCTGTTGGAAAATGTATGGAAATAGGGCCCTAGACAAGAGGCTGGGACTGAATCATTCCCCTTGCTTGCCATGAATGTTGCTAAAGTGAACATGTTGTGTGTGCAAACTTAGGTCGAGTATTCATTAATAACAGGATATTCCAGTTTTTAACAATTTTCAGTAGGTTTGTCACTGCAAAATGACACTTGTGTCATTGTAAAATGAAATTTGTCATTTCTCGGTGTTGTTTCTGTTCAGCCATGCATAAATTTATGCCCACAAATATATGTGAAATCTGCAATATAACACTGCTCCAGGGGAGCATTCAATAATGAAATTTGTCATTTCTCGGTGTTGTTTCTGTTCAGCCATGCATAAATTTATGCCCACAAATATATGTGAAATCTGCAATATAACACTGCTCCAGGGGAGCATTCAAAAATGAAATTTGTCATTTCTCGGTGTTGTTTCTGTTCAGCCATGCATAAATTTATGCCCACAAATATATGTGAAATCTGCAATATAACACTGCTCCAGGGGAGCATTCACACTGTCTCAACATAATGAGAGGAGTTGCCAGAGGATTTTTAAGGATTGAAGCAGTGGACACCTTTCCACAGCACATACATGTGTTCGAGAAATGTCAGAGGATTTTGGAGGATTGAGGCAGTACCCTTTTTTTGTCATGAGGGTAGTTGGAGCATTTGGAAGGATTGAGGGTGTATCCTCTGAACAGGCCCTAGGCAGTTAAGGTTAATGGATGCCAATAATGCCATTTGTAAGAAGGGAATAGGAGAATGAACGCGACTAATGCCCAAGCCACAGGCAAGGGCATCAGCATTCATTCTCCTCAGCCGGCCTTAAGTGTTAGTTCAAGGCCGGCCAAGCACATGTTTATTCCCATTCATAAATATCGTTTAATAGTCAGAGAGTCAAAAGAAGTCAATATACGATGAATTTCCAGGGACTTTGTTCAACAATGTTACTTTCATTTTCCCTAAGACCCAAGTCCAGTTTATGGTGTATTCCTTGTGCAAGTATTCCAAAAGAATCCTTAATAGGAGATGGACCTCAGTTAAAGTTCTTTGGCCAACTGTCAAATTCTTTTTTTAATTGTGTCCTGACCTTCAAAATAAATCGTGACCCAGTCCCTCCTGAACCAGGTGTCTTCAGATCTCGTCACTTTCCCAAAGTCTCCCGTAATTAATTTAGCGAGGCAAATTTCCAGGCAACACCCGCATGGCAAGTTTTGCGTGCGCACACAGACTCTTGACCAATAGGAATGGATTCAACTGTCTCGTATCTAGGTGCGTTTTTATGCAGTGGACATTTTAAAATTGTAGCCAGCATTATCAAATGTTAATGCATGGTCACGTTGTGCTTCCATGTAGTTGAATAGGGAAATTGTCTATGGTATTAATGAATCATGGTTGTTCTGATTCTCAAATGAAATAGAAATGGAGGGATTGATAAATGACTTTGTCAGAAAAACTACATAAAGTTGAGGCCTGATATCTAGATAATTGAAATCATTCCATCATAGGTTTTCCTGACCAGGTTTGCAGTGTTCATTCATTTCTCTGTATTGGTTTCAACATTAATTCTGCAAAGATTTGAATTGAATTTAATTAACCCTAAAAAGAGCTAGAGGAGGCAGAGGTTTTTTTTCTGGTATTGCTGCAGTGCATTTTTTCATGAGCTGAGCTGTTGGGAGTTTTTTGGGAATTCTTTGCGGTCATTTTGACACCAATTGTGTGAAAATTGAGCATACCGTTCTCAGGTAGCACCCATTTTTCCCAAGACTGCCAAGCCAAAAATGTATACTGTTTCACTACTGTGCTCAATGCACATTACAGTATTCAGCCTTCTTTCTTTAACTTACTGAAAATCAGTGTTAACTGGCCTTAATCAGTGGTATTCTTTACATATTGCAGGTGCTATCTTGTCATCAGCTATGCTGCGAACCTCCACACCATGGTAAGTGCACATCAGCAGGAGGCACTGTAATGCACTGAAACTACAGTGAATCATGAAATGCACCAAAGACTTTAAGAAAGCAAATACATTTATCTTCAATTTTGGCAAAATTTAGTGTGGAATTGGCTGTCATATTAACCCAAACTGCCCAGTATCTATCAAACTCCAACAGGTTTTGGCAGGTTTGGTAGTTGGTACACATACCATACCCGATTAATTTCTTGATGAATTTTGTTGGACTTGGTGTCAAAGGCCCAGGTTGATGGTGTTTGGTTGTGTGTGAGTTGGGACACACAATGCAGTGTCTGGCTTGCTGTACCAAGTGTTGAACTGTGTTTTACATTTTGTCAAGTTTGGTACTGCTGCAGTGCAAGTCATCCTATACTGCATAGACCCATCCATACCTTATCACTCAAACACCAAAAGTATCACTTTGTTGGAGTCTATCAGCTTTGGTACAGTGACCTGCATGTACAAGTACATCGACAAGTACATGTGTCTGTTGAAGTTTGTTGGGTTCAGTATGCTCCCTGGTGCAAGAGCTTAGGGAGTTAATGTTCTTCCTAAAATGATGTCACACTGATGGTCGTAAATACGCAAATTGGAGTAGTGCAAAACTCAAAAAGGCCTCAATATGTCCTTAAAACTGAGAATTGGAAATAAGGTCGGGTAGGACATATCAGGGCATTTTACTGCTTTCAAAAATGAATGTGACAGTATAAAAGGCAGGAGAAGAGCAAGGGACCCTCTGTTTTCTGTGTTCCTGAGTAGGATGTGGTGGCTGTGTCCATGGTGACAGTCTAACCATTAGTTTTTCAAACTGTTCCATAGTGTGGCTGTAGCTCCTAAGCTCCTATTCCACACCAGCCAGCAGCAGCAGATGCCCAACAAGCTCCCAGAGTATGGGGGCCAAGTTCGCTTTGGCTTCATCCCCGAGGAGTGGTTCAAGTTCTTTGAGAAGAAAACTGGCATCACTGGTAAATCTGTGGGGTTGAAATCTCAGAAAAGAATTTATGTGGTTGACAGGACCAGGGCAAGTCGTAAAATCACACGGAACCTGAACGACTGAGTAAAAATGCACACACATATTGGAAGTTATTTAATGTTCTTGCAGTTAACCTGTGGGAAACAGCATAACGATACTGATGTCACATTGAAGAAGAAATGAAGGATTTTTTGTTTATTGAAAAACATAAAACAAGGTACATGTAACAACACCCAAGGGGCAATTTCTGTTGGATTTTTTAATACATAACAAAAGGCTACTTGTTTCAGCAAGTTTGTTTCACCTGTGATTCATTACTGTTGCATTTGGTTATAGGACCGTATGTCTTTGGAGGAGGTTTAATCATGTATCTTCTCAACAAAGAAATCTACGTCGTGGGCCCGGAGACTGTCCATGCTTTAGTGGCCTTGAGTGTGCTGGTGTATGGAATCAAGAGATTTGGACCCTCTGTGGCTGCCTGGAGTGACAAAAAGATTAAGGTTTGGTTGATCTCAATCATTGGCTTGTTGATGGTTTATGTCATGTGTCCAACTACCTTGAACTACCTGGGCTGCATTTGACAGTATTTCATGAAGACGGTGAGGCAAAAGACACGCTAACCTCAGAGGAAAAATTTGCTTAAGATGGTGGCAAAACAGTGGCAATCTTTATGCGCGCACAACCGTAAGCATAACGACGCCAGGCACCACCATGTAATAGTTAAATTAAAGCAGAATGTTTTCTGCTTACTCTTCAGCAGCGTCATGAAATTGGGCCCACAGCCCCTGAATAGATATGCAAGTGTGAGGGAGTTTTTCAGCTGTTGCTCTCGTTCATTTCACATTGGAGTCCGTCTGTTCCTGTTGACGTTTTGTTTCTTGTTTCTTACACCCACCCAGGAGCAACTTGATGAGGCCAACCAGAACAAAGAAGAGGCCATCACCATCCTTGAGAATGCAGTTGGTGAGGAGAAGAAAGAGCAGTGGAGACTGGAGGGTCGCCATTATCTCTTTGATGCCCGGAAAGTAAGTGCCGAGCTCACCTAGACTCTGGCAAGCTCAACTCTTTAACCTAGAACGTGAAGTTGGAGCACAGTTACCATGAATGTAGACAGACGTCACTGCAAGTACAGAGCTAGTGTCGTTGGGTTCTGGTGGAATCACGCATTCTGGGGTTTTTGGGCAGGAAATTTCCTGCCAAAAATGCCGGCAACAGTTAAGCTCTCAAAACAAGCTGCCCTGAGTGGTGTCGACCTCTGTGTGTGAACAAGAAAGGGCTTATTTTCACGTAAAAGTAATGGTGTCTTCTTTACAAAACTTGCTATTCGAACTTTTCCTTGTACCGGCTATCATTTTAAAGTAGTTTTCCCTTTCCCTTTTTTCAGTTTCCATTGGCTTTGATACACAATATGTACGACCCATATTCACTGGAATTCAATTCAATTCATTCTTAAGTGTGAACAGACACATACATGCACATTTCCAGCACATGAGCAATGGCGAGGCAAGATTCTTGTTTTACTGTTTCCTAGCCCCCCTCCATTTTGGATCTATTGCACAGGCTTAGACACAGTCCCTATTGATCATTCTCAGTGTGTGAGTGAATCAGGTCTCAAAAGATAATTCTGTTCTATTTATTCTGTTAACAAAACAATTTATTTTAGCTGCAATTTTTATTTCCCTTAATCTTTTGAAAGGAAAATGTAGCCATGCAGATGGAGATCGAGTACCGTGAACGACTGAACAAGGTCAGCGAAGAGGTCAAAAAGAGATTGGTGAGTATCAAAAGAAACCAATCACCGTTTGGTTATGTGGTGTTCCCTCTTAATGCCCAAATTTGTCTGGATGTCAAAGTGGGTTATATAACCAAATGGAGAGTTGAGCGAACCCTTTGTTGTGTATACATGAGTTCCTGTGAGGAAAAGCTTTTGAAGCGTTCTAAGTATGGTGTGATGTGAATTTAGCTAGTCAACAGTGAGAAACTGCATGGGCAGTGGTGTACAGTACTTGCATAGATCACTGCAATCTGATTGGTGGACAGTTGATCACATGTCACTCGATTATTTGTTCTATTCAACTGCACCCATTGGATTGAACGTCACTTGACTGGTTTCTCTCCACATTTCATGTACATGACATATAATGTAGGGACAGGAATCAGTCTAGCTCTGCACTGTACTACCTATGGGTGGCGCTTCGGACAGGAATCTATTTCGTAAAATGAAGGACATAAATAAATGATGACAGTTTGTTCTAGCAGAAGAGGATTTATGCTGGTATTGTATCAACACATAATGAATGTTTCACTTTCGTGCAGTGGTAGGAATAATTTCATTCGGTGACAGATGAAATGTTCAATTCCATCCAGCATTGGCTCGTGGAACAGAACATTCATTATTTGCATACTATTTTTCTTGTTTTTGATGGTATTAGGACTACCAAGTTGAGCTGGACAACATGCAGCGACGGCTGGAGCAGTCCCACATGGTACGCTGGATTGAACAGAATGTCATCAAGAGCATCACCCCTCAGCAGGTAGGAAAGAGAAGGATACCCCAAACTTTGTACATGACGGATCCATGAAGATAAGTTTTGATGCTGAATGACATTAGCAAATATGAAAACCACATTTTGTGGATTTTTTTGTCGGTAGGGTTATTTGAGGCGAGTTATGTCTAGCTAGTTCTGTGCTTAAAGATAATTTCATATGTCAAGGGTTTTTTTACTGCCAAGAGTGTTTGCGTAATATAAGATTTCATGTTCATAGATTTCATGTTTGAAGAAACCAAACTAGACCAGCTGTTGAGAGCTAGATGATAGCTCAGTTTGTAAAGAAGTGGGCTGGTAGTTCAGAGGTCATCTTTTTAACTTCTGTTCATTCTCATCTCAAATAAATAGATGAGAAATAATAGAAATGTGTTTGGGAACCTAGTTAATGATCTCTTTCTTGTTTGAGTCACTAACACTTCCAAATTTCTTTTGGCTTCCAGGAAAAGGATATTCTCAGCAAGTGTATATCCAACCTAAAGACAATGTCTACTGCGTGATACATCACATTGAGGGTAGTAGGCATTTCAACTTTCTTAAATGCTTGACTAGGAGAACAGTGAATTTGTTGTACAAAGGAGTCACAGTTTTTAAAATTAACAAAAACACCTGTTGAAAGAATTGGATTGATTAATTTACATAAGTGTTCAACTATTTTGCTGTGTGATGTCAGCTGGAGGGTAAATAATGTTTTGGGAGTTAAGTTGCATGTGATAGTTTGGTATTTACTGAGGGGGGATACTTAAATCCACACTGTCCCATAACTGGAGATCTGGGTAATTCCGGATTCAATCCAAGTGGTCAGCTTAGTGTATTTTGCTGAAAAGGTCTAGTGTGAAAACTGTATTTCATTTAAAATGACACTGAGCCATTCTTGGGCAGTTTCTTTTGAAAGATAAATAATGGTGAATTTGTCCAATACTTTACAGTATATTGCATTACTCAGGAGGAGCTATTGTGCTGTGTTGGTAAATTCAAAGAAATGGCTGCATCAGGTTTTTTCTTTCCACTCCAGTTGATGAAATGTTTACATCAGAACTGTTGAATTACTTCACAGAGTATCAAAAATTGTTTGACAATTTAGGATTTCCTGTTGTGGGATTGTTTTCAAAAACAGTTCCTGCAAGAAACTTACGATTTTTCTCTTTCCTTAAAAGAATTGGTAAGATTAAAGAAATTTGAAAGTTTACAAGCCTAGCATGTAGAAAATAAACAAAACTTGACAATAGTAAATTCTGATCAGCATGTGCGGATTTTGTTACAAGGTAGTCAGTGTGTCTTTGCGTGTGAGTTACTGGGATGAAAAAAAGGGCACGCCTGGTCTTCAGCCAGGATTTATGCTTGGGGAATGAAATAAGATGGCATATGTGAGAAAAATCATTTTGTATCTATTTGCCAGACCAATTTTCTTGAAACTGAATGAATTAGACGGGGTCTCTGAATGGTTACACAGTTCTATGCTCACCTATTGAATAGTAAACTATGGAACTTAAATCTATAAAATGATATCAAGATGATTAAAAATTGTAATTTGAACGGAACCACCGATTGTCTTTGCGTTAACTCATTGAGAACACTTACTGAGATTTGGTCTAGTATCTTCTTACTCTTCTGTTTACATCAAAATTTGTAAAAGAGAAACTTTGAGGTTAAGAGAAACTTTGAGGTATAGGATAAGCTTTGAGGTAAAAGTCGTTCTAAATCTTTACTTTTCACGTGTTTTTAATTATTGATAATTAATTGACATACATGTACATTGCCCAGTATTATTGTATGGAACTTGTGTATGGTGCCGAAGCCCGCCTGGAAAGAGCGGCATGAATAATGCATGTTGACCTGTATTTTTTTTAATGAAACACAACGATTGAAACCCTGAGCCTTCCTCAGATTTTTGAATGTAAATGTGGATGTGGCGCCAGACTACTTTTTCTTCGCATATTCTTCGTGGCCGAATCATTGGCTACAGCTGGCTATGACACACAGACCTACGGAAACTGACTTAAGCTGGTAGCCAGTGGCTTCAATAGAGGAATGTGTTAGTTCGAGTCGTAGCCGTAATTTACGGTCGCATTACGCAGACGATTTTTTCAGGACGAGGTAAGTGTCTCGTTTTCAGATATTTTACCTCAAATTACTGCCGCGTACCGCCAAACTTTTGTGCTGCAGCTGTTCGTAGCCACATTTACCATGTGTGCAGTTGAAAAAGCTTCAGTTAACATTATTTATATTTTCATGTTAATCAACAGTAAGACGGATATTTATTGTTTAAAAAGAGCAGGCTAACATTTGGGTTAGGCTTTTTCAGAACTGAAAATGGCAGGCGTGGATAATCAAACTTCAGGTAAAAATTGACGTGTTCTTGGTGGTTACCGCTTAGATTGTGGTTACACGTCCCACTGGTATTTCATGTAGGCCTAGGCCTATTTCTCCGCTATGTCCACAAAATATGCTGAAACTGTGGAAGTGGAAATTGGTCACGTTCACTGACCTCATTATCCTACAGTGTAGGCCCTAATTTTAGAAAAAAAAAGTTTTCAAGAAAAAATGACAGCAGGAGTGGGCCCAAATAAAAAATACATCATTCATACTAATTACTAGGCCAACATCATGCATGATCTAACAGTTTACAGCCCGATTTCCATGTCGCCCCTAACCACTTCGCCACATTGCCCCATCTCCACTTCGCCCCATCTCCACATTGCCCCATCTCCACTTCGCCCCATCTCCACATTGCCCCATCTCCACTTCGCCCCATCTCCAC